ATATATATATATATATATATATAGTATCCAATATTGTATATAATGTAATATATACAAGCAGATGATAATTGATCCTCTGCTCGTTCTGCCTTGCTCTCCTCTGCAGCAGGTTGACCTGAAGGGTGGAGCCTTATTGGAATATTATTATTACTGGGCAACATTTTAGTGAGTGCCAGCAGGCGCCAATCAGTGAATGGATGAATGGAGCTTTCTTTTTCCTCCCCCCCCCCAAACTTTTTACAACCAGCAGATGCCACCTATGGTGCTGCTCTGAGGACTTGGGCAGGCCAGATTTCCCATAAGGTTTTGTAAGTTGGCATTTTTTTACAAGCCAATGGACAAGCTTTGCTAGTTTCATCTTACAAGTTTGACCAACAAGCAATTTTCTTAGGGTGTTCTCTGAAATAATCCATCCTGTTAAGCCATTATGGTTTCTTTGGAAGGGCTTAGCATGCAATGGGACTCAGGTATTGTGTTTTCTTTTCCCAGAATTAGATTTCAATTCATCTAGTAAATTATTTGGGAATTTATACGAATGGTTCTTGGGAACTTATCCATATATTGTACTGCATTATGCCGCATGATACCTTAGAGATAAGCAAATGCTTAATAAATTTGAATTCTACGTGTGAACAATGCAACAGGGGTTGAGTTTAGGTCTTGAGAAATGCCTGTTTCTTCTCCCATGTGCACTTCATACATTTCATATCCCACTCTGATCTTGCCTCCTGTCTATATTCTTATTGTTATTAACAGTAATAATCATAGGCCGTTCGACTCCCAATCATTTAATCCCAGAGACACCTTCAGCTGCAAAAGGAAACCTCCGGTAGTTTGTTTGATTTAGTGTGCGGCAGGTTTTGCCCCAGCCTGACACCTGCGGAGAGCCAGCCCTCGCCCGAGGAGAGCCTTGGCCAGGCTCTGGGTAAAGAAGCCATGATGGTCTCGTCTGCTGTTGTTTTTAGGCAGGGGGGACCTGCAGCCTCAGCTGGACAATGCCCTGCAGGATGTGAACGACCTGTACCTCCTGCTGGAGGAGACGGAGAAGCAGGCAGTCCGCAAGGCCCTGGTGGAGGAACGGGGGAGGTTCTGCACCTTCATCGCATACCTGCAGCCGGTGGTGGTACGTGCCTTGTTTCCATGGATGGGCGCAGCTCTTCTAGGGCGACCGTCCAAGGGGTTCCCCACCCTTTCTCTGGGCACAAGGCTTTGGGGTTAGCAAGCCACAGGGTTGGGCTGACCCTCCCCATCCCAGAGAGGAAGAGAGGCATTTCAGGAGGAAGGAAAATCTTAAAAACCCAGAATGCCACCAAGGAAGGATGCTAAAAACGTTCCCTCACTTGTAGAGAATTTGGCTTGTGGCTCTTCTCCCAGCTGATGCTTTGCTTGGCCCAAGCGGACGAGGGAGGGCAACTCACTTATGGGAACAATATTGGTACCTGTTGCCACATTTGGAGCCATCCCTGTTTTCCATTAAGCTTTTTTGAAGGTTGGAATGTGAGGAGGAACATTTAAGGTGTTTGTGGTTCTCCATAAGGTCGCATAGGCAAACTCCCGAATGGCTCTTTTTGTTTACTGCACCTAATTCTGATTTTTTAAACTTTTTTCTTTGGACTAAAGGGAAGAAAGCTTGCCTGGAGTGATGTTTTTTTTAATTTAATTTCAGTAATGTAACTATAATCCCAGCAGGTTTCACATGGATTAACCTGAGTTACATTTCTGATTTCTGAAATTACACAAAACCACAAGTGGCAGATTTGTGGCTTTGTGGCTTCTACACAGTCTGTAGCATTGCAAGGCCTGGGGAGGACTGAAATGTAGCAGCAGAACTTGGATGCTAAGTGGAGACCAAGAGCAAAGAGGAAGGGGGAGGAAGCTGGGAAGCCTCCAGATCAGATGAGAGGCCAAAGGGAAACGTCCTTGACCCCAGTTGACACCCAGTGTTGCCTCTGCCGAAAGGAGGCTTCCTTTTGCCCACCTCTCTGTGGGTTCGGAAGCTGAAGTAGGCGCACTGGGTGACACGGCCTCAGGGACTGTGACCTTTCCTGGCCTAGAAGGCATGGCCCTTGACCCTTCCTCCCGGTCTTCCACAGGTAAAGAGCAAGCCCTAGTGGGGGGGGGGGTCTCTCCTGATTTGGGGTTCTTTTGTCCACACGGCCGAGGCTCATCCTTTCCTTCACCCTTTTGCAGAACGGAGAGATCACCATGCTGGGAGAGATCACCCACCTTCAGGGCATCATCGATGACCTAGTGGTGCTGACAGCAGATCCACACAAACTGCCAACAGCCAGTGAGCAGGTTAGAGAAGCACAAAAGTCACCACGTGACATGGCGGTCCATGTTCCCCTGAGGCGGCCCCTCCCTCTCAGCGCAGGGCTTGGCAGCATCCGGGGGGGGGGGGCACCACTCCGGTTCGACTGCTTTTCATCAACATCCAGGACTTAAAGCCATGTATGCCATGCTCTGCGCTCAGAGAACAGGATAAGGTCCGCTTCAAGCACTTAAAATGCAACCGTGGGTCTCCCTCCCTTCCTGTCTTTTCTCGGGACAAAAGTTCTCATAAGATGCTCAGGATTCGGTTGCCTTTTCCCCTTGTTGCTTCTCTGGTTGCCTGGCTTCCTTCAAGGGGAACCTTGTTGCATGAAGTGAAGGCCGACCGGGGCCCAAAAGCCTTGAACTGCTCTTCCCTCTGACCTACGACGACATCCATTCAGTTGTAGCTTTCTGTGGGGGCATCCTCAGTGGTCCTTATTAGGGCACTTAGGCTGCTAATTCAGAAGCTCTGAGCTCTTTTTCACAAATAGCCAAAAAAACAGGTTTCTCTGGTCATTTTGTTCCTTTAATAAAAAAGAACTTACAATGGCTGCCATTCTGCTAAGCTGACAGCTTGACATCAGTAACGGGGGGAGGGATATGGGGAGGGAGAGGCTCGGAGGAATCGAAACGAAGCACTTCCGCCCAGCGGGAAGCACCAGCCATCTCAAGGTCACTCCAGAAGAATGCGGATCTGGGACAGGAAGATGGGCACCATTTCCCAGCCACCTGGTTGAACATTGACTGATGTTCGTCCATCGTGTTTGAAGAGGACTTTGATTTGATTTGATTTTGATTTTATTAATATTTATAGGCCGCCCTTTTCCCTGAGGGGACTCCGGGCGGCTTACA